CTGGCGGCCGACCGCGGCGCGGGAGAGCCCGGGGAAAACACCACGTAGGTGTTTTCTATCCCGAACTCTTGGCTTGCAGAGGGGCAACTCCGAGGAGGCAAACACAAAGAGCAGGATTGGGGGTTTTAAAAACCGCTTGCTTTTAAAACAGCCGAAGACTAGAGCGGTGACGTCCTGGGATTGGGTAGGGGCAGGACTCGATGTGCAAATCTGGAATCTAACGTGAGGCTTAAATCTAAATTTGCGCCATGCACTTCGGTGTTTCCCCACTAAGCTTCGTTCCTTACTTTAACATCCAAAGCTCAAAAATAGAATAGAACAAGATCGAGTGAGGATAGAGGGTGTGTGTGCGTGTGTGTAATAATAATATAGGTTTTCTTACATATTGGAGGAAGTCAGGGATGGTCAAGATTTTTTTCAGGGCGTCGGGAGGCTTTCTATTTTTCTCGGCCTTTGGAGTATCTTCTATGTGATTCAAAGTTCCCATGTCGAACATTCAGTGGCCTGATTTGAGGATTTTGTAGGCAAACATACATATTCCTGTCTTACTCATCAGTTCCTCAAAATCAATGATGAATGGGGTTGGGCTGGGGGGTTGATAATTTGCAAGCAGAGCATGTCTCCCAGCGTACTCTCATTTTCTCCAAAAAACTCATAAGACGGTTTCAGTGACATAGAGGTTCTCTTAACTACACCCAACATATATATTCATAGCAGGGTATCCAGTTAATGAAACGCCGAAAGAGCGAGAAATAGTGAACCAAAACGCTAATTTTTGTAAGCTTCTCCCAGATCAGACAGTCCTTAAGTTCTTCTTTTTTTTTTTTTTTCTTACATTATGTATCTATTAACTCTCCCTGGTTCTCCAGACCTATCTCGAGATTTCCATACCCTCAAGCAAGCCTCGAGCGCACCACACTTTCTTATAACTCATCACTCCCAAATGCTATCTGTTGGAAACGGAGGAGGTGGCACTGAGCAAAAAATCAGACACTATTGTCATCTTCATCATTGGGGCAGATACTCTCAGCGAGCTTTTGCTTTGAATTTAGTCTCATCAGCTTATTACCTTTCAGGTTCATGGATGATGTTTTCTCCAATTACAGAGATAGACTTGGTTTTACGAAACTTAAAAATTTAATCTTAGATTAAATGCAAATTAAATCAGTGAGACACTGTTTTTCATCCGTTGGGCTGATAAAGATATATTGAGTTAGCATGGGTTTGGGAAATAGACCCTCATGTACATTGTTGGTGGGGATAAAAACGATAAACCTCTTTGGAAGGAAATGTAATAATATCAGTCATAACTTTATATGTGCATACTGTTTTCCCCAGCATTTCCTTGTCTAGACATTTATGCAACAGATAAATTCAGCCTATATAAAGATATTTGTTAGAGCACTGTTTCGAGTAACAAACGTCTGGGGAAAACCTAAAGATCCTTCTGTAGAAAGTGGTTATAATACAGTACCATTGAAAAGAATGAAGTTGCTCTACATGTGCTAATGTGGAACAATCTCCAGATTATTACTAGATGAAAAAAAGCAATTTAAGCAAACTAGTGTATAAAAGCAAGGAATACATGCAAGGCTGATAATATGCAGTGGGCACTTTGGCACGTCGTATGTACCATGGGCCTTCCTTCCAGTTGGTTGTACCTGTGGGAAATATTTTTAATGTAGCCCTTTAAGATATACATATGTGTATGCATGCCCACTTGTTTGGCTTTAGGATGTCTCTAGAGCAATACACAAGAAACTAGTGACAGTAAGGATCTGTGGAGAAGAACACAAGCCTGAGGTTAAAGGAGAACTTACTAACTGATATAGTTAGGCTGTGTCCCCACCCAAATCTCATCTTGAATTCCCACGTGTTGTGGGAGAGACCCAGTAGGAGGTAATTGAATCATGGGGGCAGGTCTTTCCCTTGCTGTTCTTGTGATAATGAATAAGCCTCACAAGAGCTCATGGTTTTACAAACAGGAGTCTTCCTGCACGAGCTCTCTCCTGTTGTCTGCCTCTGTGTGAGACCTCCCTTTCACCTTCCACCATGATTGTGAAGTCTCCCCAGCCACGTGGAACTCTAAGTCCAAATAAAACTTTCTTTTGTAAATTGCCGGGTCTCAGCTATACCTTTGTCAGCAGCGTGAAAACAGATTACTATACTACCACTTTTTAGCTTTCTGTATGATTCCATTTGTATTATGTGCAAGCATTGCTTTCCCCCCCACCCCACCCCCCCCTTTGTTTTTTGAGATGGAGTCTCCCTCTGTCGCCCAGGCTGGACTGCAACGGCGGGATCTCAGCTCACTGCAACCTCCGCCTTCTGGGTTGACGCGATTCTCCCGCCTCAGCCTTCCAAGTAACTGGGACCGCAGATGCACGCCACCACACCCAGCTAATTTTTTAATTTTTATTTATTTTTGTTAGAGACGGGATTTCATCACGTTGGCCAGTCTGGTCTTGAACTCCTGACCTCAGGTGATCCACCCACCTCGGCCTCTCAAAGTGCTGGGATTATAGGCGTGAGCCACCACGCCCAGCCTCAAGTATTGCTTTAAAAATTAATTAAAACTCAGCCGTCGCTCTCCAACACGAGCGCTGCCTATAACTCGCCACGCTCCAGCAGAAGAAGGGGTCTAAGTAAGGAGATCTCTATACCAGGGCTGGTACAAAGCTGACTGCCCAAAAATCAATTGGTGGTAAAGAACCCAGGAAGCAATCCCAGCACTCTGGGAGGCCGAGGCGGGTGGATCACGAGGTCAGGAGTTCAAGACCAGCCTGGCCAAGATAGTGAAACCTCGTCCCTAGTAAAAATACAAAAAAAAAAAAAAAATAGCTGGGCGCGGTGGCAGGCGCCTGTAATCCCAGCTACTGGGGAGGCTGAGGCAGGAGAATAGCTTGAACCTGGGGGGCGGAGGTTGCAGTGAGCCACGATCGCGCCACTGCACTCCAGCCTGGGCGACAGAGTGAGACTCCATATCCAAAAAAAACAAAACCCAGGAAGCAACTAGCTACAAACGCCACAAGCGTGCGCCCTCTACTGGACAAGTGAAGAAACCTCATCATTACAGACCTGGTACTGGTACTGTGGCACTGTGGCACTCGGTAAAATTAGACGTTATCAGAAGTCCTCTGAACTTCTGATTCGCAAACTTCCCTTCCAGTGCCTGGTGCAAGAAATTGCTCAGGACTTTAAAACAGATATGCACTTCCAGAGTGCAGCTGTTGGTGCTTTGCAGGAGGCAAGTGAGGCCTATCTGGTTGGCCTTTTTGAAGACACCAACCTGTGTGCTATCCGTGCCGAACATGTAACAATTATGCCAAAAGACATCCAGCTAACACACCACGTACGTGGAAAATGTGCTTAAGAATCCACTATGCTGGGCACGGTGGCTCACGCCTGTAATCCTAACACTTTGGGAGGCCGAGGCGGGCGGATCACCTGAGGTCGGGAGTTCAAGACCAGCCTGACCAACATGGAGAAACCCCGTCTCTACTAAAATAGAAAATTAGCCTGCTGTGGTGGCGCATGCCTGTAGTCCCAGCTACTCAGGAGGTTGAGGCAGGAGAATCGCTTGAACCCGGGAGGCAGAGGTTGCAGTGAGCCGAGATTGCGTCATTGCACTCCAGCCTGGGCAAGAAGAGTGAAACCCTGTCTCAAAAAAAAAAAAAAAAAAAAGAATCCACTATGATGGGAAACACTTTATTCTGAAGAAAAAAACAAACAAACACACAAAAAAAAATTCTCTTCCTCCTATTATTGGTAGTTCTGAACATTAGATTTTTTTTTTCCATGGCGTTAAAAGGTACCTAAGTACATATGATTGCGAGTGGAAAAGGGGACAGAAATCAGGTATTGGCAGTTTTTCCATTTTCATTTGTGTGTGAATTTTTAATATAAATGCGGGGACATAAAGCATTAATGCGAGTCAAAATGTTTCAGTGAACAAGTTTCAGCAGTGCAACTTTATAATAATTATAATAAACCTGTTAAATTTTTCTGATAATGCCTGCATTTGGATTTTTTTAAAACAAATAAATTTCTTATTGACAGCAACTAAATGGTGTTTGTAGCATTTTTATCATACAGTAGATTCCGTTCATTCACTATACTTTCTGAGTTGTCCTACATGCAAGTACATTTTTTGGTTGTTTTCTGTTTGTTTGTTTGCTTTTGTTTTTG